CTCAGTATTTCATTTATTATCCCTCATCTACGTGAACTGAGACAAAGAACATAGCAATTTCTGAATGTCAGAGTAGGGAAGCATTTCTTCATGAGGAAAATGGGATCATGGGGAGCAGTATCAGCATCCCTTGCTGGCTGGTGGTGTTTCCAGCTTTACTGATACAGAGGCCTGGGGCCTTAAGGATTACTGATGCTGCATAATATAAACAACAAAGCAAATCCTACTAGATCCCTGTCAAAGATATTTAACTAAATTCCTAACCCATAAGCCCACCCTGGGCCATCTCTTATCTATGAAAGCCATCTCACAGCTGCCTGCAAAGCCTCTGGAGGCTGGTTAATCCAGGAAGATGGACCCTTGGTGTCAGTGCCTCCAGGGGAAGGAGCAAAGGCAGGAGGGCAAAGTCTTGGAGGTCTCTTTGTCTGATGGATTTCACTCCATTTCGTTCCAAGCCAAAGCCTCAGGGAGGGAAAGAAGGCTGGTATGCAGCTCCATCTGCAGTCCAGCAAACCTGTTCCCTAGCTGGTCAAAAGTTGCCCCAGCCTGGATGCTCATAGCTTGCAGAGACCAGGGGATAAAATATCAAGGACCAGCCTGTAGATGGGACTTGAAGACTTGGACTATTTAGTCCCCAGATCACATGTATTTGCTTCAAGCTTTGATGAAATTCTTGTAGTATTTCCTTTAGAATTGAAAAATACCTCTTGGAACGGACAAGACATTACTTTTTTACAAGGGTACAAGAAAAGTGCACCTAAATGTACTTACAAAAGTGCAACCCCATAATACATCTCTTCCCCCTCCTCCTTATCAGCAAGCATCACCTCTTTATTTTTGGCCAGGCATGGCCCTGTGGAGGGACAGTGGCCTAAGGCCAAGGGGCTTTCTGCTTAACCCTGATTAATCACCAGCTCTTTGGGCAGTCACTGGGCTTCCTTCTGCCTTGTGTGGTTAGACTCCATGTCCTGGGACTGTTTGCTCAGCATCTGGCAGAGGAGAACAGCAGCCTCATCACCTCCTGTGGGGTTTAGGTTTATGCATCCAGTGCAGGCATAATCACACAAATATGATGAGTCCTTGCTTTCAGTTGCTGTCTAACTTTATTTACATGAAGTTTTGGAAAGATCAGGTGTTAAGCTCCTGCCTGACATGTCCATTGTTGTCACTCAGTCATAAATTCAATGACTGTCTCATGTTTATCTTACTTTTTTTTTTGTTTCTTCTTATTGTTATAATAAAATAATTAATATTAAAGTATTTTCCCCTCAAGCCTTTTTCTTTCTTTCTTTCTTTTTCTTTTTTTTTTTTTTTTAATAAAATCATCAGTGATTTATCCCAGGATTGCATAGTAACACACATTTTTTAACGTGCTGTATATTGATCAAAGGTTTTGACTTCTGCTGTGTGAAAGCTGTACCTGATTCCCACAAGGAAAAAAGGCAGATTTTCTCCCCTGTACTATTAGAAATGATCAAAACCTTCTGCAGATGCCTTGGGTATCAGTGAAGAATGAAGTATAGGATGTTGGCGCTGTACTGTGGCTCTCTTTTGAGAGGATTGAGCCCCCTAGTAAATTGGACTTGGAACGCGTGTAATGTAAATTTTCTGTCAGATGTTTCTTAGCCAGTTACAGTATTAACAAGCAAATGGATTTCCTTTCATTCCTCACCTCATCATTCTTTGTCCTCTAAGTTGTGCTTAATTAAATATGAGGGTGCCTCTGACAGTAAAGAAAATTAAATGGGGAGGGCACAGATATTGGTTTGTACTTTTTACTTTTCTTTCCTTCTTGTTCCCGTTCAGCCTTGTCAGGGTAGTGGCTTTCTCTTAAGCAACGCTTAGGCATATGCATATGTTTGCATTTAATTTCCAGATGGGGAGGCAGGCCTCTAATAACTGTGTGAGCTGCTGCTTTGTAGATCTTGGTGGCTGACTGACTTACCTTCCTTTTGCAGCTGGCCAAGAAACTGCACCCGTACCCCGGGACACCGACACATGCATGGCTGAGCCAGGCTTTTGGACTCTCAAGCTAGACTGGTGCAAAAAATGATTTACCTCTCCCAGTCTGCAAAAAGCTTCACCTCCTCTTTACACTTGTGAGGCTCTTGATTTCAGGTTCACACAAAACTGCTTTGCCTTTTGGCATGACCGCTCCTTGCAAATTTGTTTCCTGAAGGCTTGAGCAGATGTTATTCAAGGAAATGTATTTCTTCATTAGCACTGACATTTTGGTGAGGGTAAAAATATTTTCCTGAGTGAAGGGACCTGTAATGACTCCTCTCTGTTTCTCTGTAAGTGCTCCTCTGCAGATTTCCTGGAAAGGAACAGCGTGTCTCCAGCTGTGTCTCAGGTATCTTGTCCTGCCTTGGTGAGTTGTGTTTTCCTGAGGGATCTTGCTGAGAAAGTTATAGATCTCAGCGTAGCTGGGTCCAACTTACTTTGAAGTTCAAGACTAAAGGTTTGGACTAGCAAGCTGGAGAGTGAGTAGAGGAATGGAGTACTGAGTGCACAGATGTATTGATCTGAATAGGAATGCATTTGCAAATAGGTATGTTATTAAACATTCTCTAATGCTGACCAGATGTAGCAGTCTACAGTATAATCAGCTACATATGGACTAGATACGTTGGCCTCCCTTTGTAGTCAGTATATGAAAAGAAAAAGGCATTTCTAGGTTGCAGTTCACCTCATTTTCAAGTAGATATCTCAGGTACCTTACAAGTGCTTGTTTGTTTCTCTCATTTTTAAAGGAACTCATGGTGACTTAACCAGATGTGAATATCTGCATTGTTGACATCTAAAGTTAGGTTAGATAGTTCTTACCTCGAGTGTATTTGTTACACATTTATGTATTTTGAATAACTATTTGTCATTACTTTCCTAAGTCTTCAAACCTCGTGAGATTTAAATGAATTCTAGTGCCTTGTTGATTCTAAATTTACTAAATTGCTTCAAACATTTTCTTTTTATGAAACTTATTAGTCTTTGATAGTTTTATGGCTTATTACTAGAAAAGTAAAAAATTGGGTATGTTGTTCAATAATATGTGCTTTGGGTAAATAATGTCTCTTCTGAAGAGTTCTTAGTTTTCTGTGCGTTTGAACACAGTTTTGCAGGATGGGATTCAAGTTTTGATTTGGATACTGAATGTAGCTGTCCAGAGATATCAAAGCTTTTGGTGTAGCCAAGAAAACTTGGTTTTATACTGACTAGATATGTAGAGCTCAGTGGCCCATTGAGTTTATTTATAGATCCTGCCTAATATTTGCACAATCTGCCTTTGATGTTTCAGCCTAGAGCCTTTCATATTTAACTGGATCATGGGTATTTGACCAGCTGAATTATTCTTGGATCAGTGCTGATAATAATGGGAGCTCACACACCGAATACCCATGTGGACATTTACATGTTGACTCCCCAGCTTCTTGTTGCTGTGAAAAGACAAAACCCTGGGAAGGGTTTGTCTTTATCTGAGAGACACAGTGGTCCTAATATAGTTTTCTTGCTCTGGCAGCTGTCTCTGTGGAGACCAGCAAGAATGCAAGAGAGAATCTAGTGTTGCTATTTATTTCTTGTTTTTACCCATCTTTGAACAAAACAGATCCCAAAAATGGACATGGCAGTGCTATCTTTCTTAACACACAGAATAGAGTTTCTCTATTTTGAGACATCAGAGGAATCCATGTCCTTCTGAAAGGCATTTCCTTTTGGTCAGTTAGTGTTAAAAGAGAACCTTTCCTAATCTTTTATTTCAGTGGAAACTTACTTATCTCAGAAGCAAGGGTTTGGTGTTATAGCTAGAGTCTACAACACTGAAAACATGATTATTTGCAGACAGGAATGCTTTGAACCAGCACAAGAATAACAGCTTGTCTCAGAGTCAAAACTCCTGGTGATGTTTATGCACTCTAGTAATGGAGAACACTCCCACAGGTCTCGTTCTGTCATCTCTGTATGGTGTTTGTCCACATGGAAGCAGTTTGGGTGACACCAGCAGAGCTGTGAGTACCTCCACACCCATCCTGCTTTCTGACTGCCCAGCTATGCTCTGTGCACCCTGGCAGCACAGTTCAAACACGGGAGGCCCTGCCTCATTCGGAGCACATGCCTGCAAGGAGCTGCTTCCTTGGACAACCTGTGTCACCTGAGGAAGGGACAAGGGCCACTCCAGTGGAGTGCACACCTCCAGTAACACGGGGGAACTCTCCTCTCCAGCAAACCAGGGGTTTAGTGCCTGCAGCTTCCAACTAGACCCCGTGGTTTGGGAAGCTCTCCAGGGACTACCCAGCCCTGATCTTGGCAAAAGCCTACACAGCCTAATTAGGGTCTTTTCCAGCTGGCTCCAAACCCACCAGAACCATCTGCCAGTGGATGTGTTGCAGTGTGCCGTGCTTGGCTACTCCACTGTCCCTGCCCTTCAGAGATGTCCTGGGAGTTACTGATGTTGATTCAGAGCACACTGGTAGGAAATCCCTGTGGCAGGGGGAATCCCCCCAACCTGCAGCTCCCAGCATGTTCTGCTCTCTTTGTGTTTCTCAGGAAGCACAGAGGGCAGGGGATGAGTCTGAATACGTAGAGGAGGCAGCTATGACCTGACAGGCATCCCTTGTGCTTGACAGCCAGTTTGGATGTTTAACTGTGTTCTGGAGAGAGTCCTCGTGGGCTGCACTTGTGCAATGAAAACATTCTCTGGCCCTCAGGGCAAGTGGCAAGGCACGGCCTGCATCTGAATAGAGAAATTCTCTATGCTCAAAGTAGCTGCAAAGAAAAGTCCCTGACTGTGCTGTTCCCTGGGCCACACCAGGGTGGAGAACTGGCCAAAATATCTCCGGAAATTTTGTTAGTCACAACATGTGTGCAATTGCAAGGCAGTGCTTGGTCCCTTTATTTTATTAATATAGATGTGTCCTGGATTTGAACTTCAGATCAAGGAGTTTTATTGATCATTATTCTTCCAGTATCTCTTTGTTTATTCTTCAGTCTTTCTGGGATAACAGGATATGGCATTCATGAGCCTGGCACGTTTAGAAACATCCCTGCTCCAGATCAGCACAACTTTCCTGCCAAAAAGGGCTATGGGACTGCAAAAAAATCTGTTACAGGGGAAGTACTGAGACTGTCTGGCTCCTGTGTGGTGGACAGCGAGTCTGGCATTGGCCAGGGAATGGCCAGTGAACCCTGAAACTTGGCTACCCTGATAGTAGGAGAGCAAGAGAGGGACTGATACTGCAGGGGAAGTTGCCCCATTTTTTGGTCTTGGGCTGTTCTCAAATATTGTCCAGTTCTTTCTCTTGCTTTTGTTGCAGAACAAAGCAAAACCAGCTAATACCAGTTCCTTCCATACCCAGGATACTCCTGATCCATTTACCTCTGTCTGGTGCATTCAGGGCAGGGGGTTGTCTCCTCTCTGATACTGACTTTGTCCATGATTTCTCAGCCTATTTGGAAGGCTGAAAAAGAAGTTTTTGGACAACATCCACCATTAATTAGATTGGCAGTGGAAACCAAGTTGGGCTAATTTGATAACTTTGAAAAGTACAGTCTCCTCAGACCAGTGTTTCCTTTGGACACGTACATTCTAGAAGCATTTAATTATTTTTTTAATTATCCCACCAACTCTTTATTAAATGTTCCCAGTTGAGTCTGAATTCTGATTTGCTTTGAAGGTGCTTGGGATCAGATCCCGCAGCCAGGAGAAGCTGGAACATTTCTAGTCCTTAACAGAGAATGACTCTGAAAGGGGCTTTCAGAAATATGGAGGTATTTGAGTAACCTTTCTAGTCAAGGTTTGAATCCCTTCACAGATCACATCTATTGCAGGTAGAAAGTCCAAAATCCCTGAATATGGTGGGCAGAGCAGGTCAGTAAGAGAGGATGTCTTGTCCAAGCAAGTCCTAGGACCTGCTGGAAAATCTTCTTGGACTCAACAGGTTTTGAGTCAGGTCTCAGATGATCCTGTTCTGCAATAAACATGGAGGAACAGCAGTAACTGCAGACCACGGTGCTCATTTTGGTCACCATGATATTATTATTAGTGATCCCCAGTCCACAGACACACCTTTTTTCCTTTCCTTGCCCAGCAGCTCTTATGAATCAAACGTGCTGTTGAAAGGGAGTTGCAGATAATGTGGTTTCCCTGAGCCTTTCAAACGTTATAAAACCAGAGGAGCCAAAGTAATCATCGTTATTAGTAAGCAGACTTGGAGCCTGAGTCTGAATCTGCTGTGAGTATAAACAACCTGCATTTGTATATGCATCCTCCCTGCCTTTAGTGACGAGTGTTTCACTGTGAGATTAAGGGTTGAAGGCTCCAAGATAATAATTTCAGCTGTGTGCCTCTTAGTGCTATAAAGCCCATAGAATATCAGAATATTTATTGCTGTGACTTAGTTGCAAACTCCCTGGAGTGGATAAGGGTTGCAGACCTCATGATAAATAGCACACGCTAATATTCAGCAAATGATAATGCAGACCACAGAAAAGCAGGGAGAGAGGAAAATATATTCCCAAGGGCTGATAACTAATGTAAAGAGCCAAGAAATAGTTTAGAGTGGGAGGGAATTTCCCCAGCTTCCCTCCTCCATGGATAAGTCACTGCCTTATGGATGCGCTGCACAGGGCCCAGCACTGATCCCTCCAGCCCCAAAGTTACTCCTGGCAGGAGTTCAGAACATACAGATTCACAAAGCCCTGTAGGCAGAGCAGACCTGATGTTTTCCAGCCCCAGCTGGAAGGTGATATAGCCTATATTCAAAGCAGATGAAAGGGCTTGTGGCTAAAGCTTAACTGGTTGTTTACAGGGCTTCTCTGATGCCTCTGTGCCATCTGCTCCATGCACAGGGCAGGTATTTTACCAGACTATTTCCCTGTCACCCCTTTCTAGTTAGTCCCTTTCCAGAGAGCTAAAAAATTCTCCACCTTTTTTCACCCAACCAATAAGGACATATCTGTGCTAGAAATCTCCCTTTGCCTGGGATATGCCCTCCTGAAGGAGTCACATTCCCTGACCGTAAGTAGAAATGTGTCATTGCAGAGGATAAGGCTCATGTAACGTGAGGTCAGAGAGTGGTGGGTGAACCCTACTGGAATCAGGATCACTTGGTGAGGTATTAAACATGAGTGTGTACAGACAGCACTGTTCTGGTGAGTTCTGTTCCAAATTATGTCAGTCCTTGAAGCATGAGGGTTTGTGCAGCTGGTAGGTGGTTGGGGTAGGCCAGGGGCTGGGGTGACCCACAGCCTCTTTTCCTTTTTATGGCCTTAGACAGAGGCAGTTGGAACGTGGATGATGCCAACCAACTGTGTCTGCCACTCACAGTCTGGGATGGGGAAGGGGATGGGCATAGTGAATTCCTGGTGAATGAGTAGTAAGGGATCAGAAGGAGGAATGAGAGGGAAAAGCTTTGAGATATGATGGGTCTGCAGTAGATGAGGCAGCTTCCCCTTGATACCTGCAGGAAATCTGTACCTAATTCATTTCTGTAGGACCTGCACTGGAGGTTGGTCTTTTTGACACAGAGAATCTGTTTATTCATCCCCAATCCTGGCCCAGTGCAACACAATCTCGTGGTGTGCCGTGGGGCATTACAGGGTGATACTGTCTGTCTGACGGTGATGGAAAATGCCCACCTCATGCAGGATGCTGTGGTTAGTCCACAGATGAAATCTGGAGAGTTTGGAGGCAGAGTGTGGCAATGCCTAATGGCTTCAGATATTACTTTGTGGTAGGAGGTAGAAAATTCTGCGGGTAAACAACTGATCATGAAGGGTAAGGCTTTGCTTGCAATGTAATTTGATTTTTCCTTCGGTTGTGAGAAATACAACATGAGCCTGTAGATGATCAGAGATACAGTCATGACACTTCTGAAAGACAAGAATTAGAACTGCAGCCTTGGGCTCATAAGGTGAGAATTAAAGTTTCCTGTGTGATTATATGGAAACTGCAGTAAAACACACATAAAACCAAATTGCGGGTCATGCGTTTCAGATGCTGGAAAGGGAGAAATGATGGATAGCCTGTGGCAAAATCCAATGTATGTACGTGTGACTGCAAAAGATCAGAAGAAGGCATAAGCATCTCATTTAGAATACTTGTACTGCTGAGGCAGATTTGTAGCATATGTTGGGAGCTTATACAGAACAGACCATGCAATATGTGATACCACACGCAGAGAGCCAGCACTCTGGAAACTTCCTTCTCCTGGGAAAAAGATCATGGAGCAACATTTATTTTTAAGAGGCACCCTCATGTTTTACATATTCGTGCTTTCTGTCATGATATTTGATAGCGTTGCATTTCATCACTTGGAGACACAATGCTTGGGAAGGCAGGCTTGGAGAGTACCTGTGCTCTGCTCAAACCTGTTTCCCTGCAGCTTCATGCCATACCAGTGCCATTATTTGGCCACTGTGTGTTCTGAGAGCAAATTGTGTGCAGTTGGGCTAAGCTAATGAAGTATATCCTGAGAGAGGTGCAGTGGAGCAGGATTAATAGACACAAGAAGCAGATCAGTGATGTGACCAAAAATAGCAAGTCCCACCCTTCTTCCTGAGTTCAAAAATTAGTTAACATGAAAACTGCACTTTTAACCTCTGATGTGCTCAAATCAGAGTAGCAATGCCATGATTAAACCTACTTCTCACCTGATTCCTTACACATAACCCAGGGGACCTGGCTGTCCTGCCTGTGCCCTTCCTCTACTCTTCCTGACAGCCCTTTTTATGAGCCGACTCGAATGCTGTGCATCAGCCTCTGGCTGTGGCTAAGCAGGAACCTCAGATAGTTGCCTACCCTCTTGATGGAGTAGAGGTGACTGGTGGAGGCACATCTCTACCAGCCAAGAATCTCTCATCTGTGGGGACACACAGATCCTTCTGTCAACATCTCCGTCATGCTGAATAGAACATCATTTGGGTGAGGCCAGGGGGAGCAATCCTCCTCCTTCAGATCCCTTTTCCAGTGACTAGAGGCTGCTTCCAGGTATTGAACAGGCAGCCAAGGCTTCATACTTCTCTCTGCTGACACCACCACTCATCATCCTCCTGAAGCATAGCTGGGGAAAACAGGGGTTTGCTGGCTACTTTCCAGCCACCAGATGCATGTTCCCCTCCAGAGAAGCAGCTCTGGTCCTAGGGAGATGGCCTGATGCAATGACATTTAGGGAAAGACCTAAGGCACAGCAGCAGGACTGTGAGGAAGGGATCATTGCTGGGATAGGAACAGTGAAAAGCTACAGGAAGGGAAATGGCAATAGCAATGAGAGACATGATTGGCAATGGGAGGAAGGTGCAGCTGATGGAAATGGAATGAAACAGAGAACTCTGAGGGGAGCAGTTCAATCACTTTTTAGATAATACAGGATATTTGAGCCAGGATTTCAATTTTTTTTTTTTTTTTTTTTTTTTTTTTTTTTTTTTTTTTTTTTTTTTTTTTTAATATTCCAGCTCTGATCCGTGAGTTACTGCAGAAGAATTGTTTTATTGTTGTGTGCCTGACTTTCCCCATTTATGAACTAGATAGTGGCCATTAGCAACCCTATAGCAGGTGAGGGCACCTTAAGATCCTTGCCTGGAAGTGTTGACACTTGAGCATTATTGATAGACACGTGGAGACAGGCTGTCTCTGTGAATACTTTTGCAAAAATCTTCTTGAGTCTCTAAATCTGGCAGCTCCTGGAGCGCTACACCGAACCCGAAGCACCCTCACAAGGTCTGACACTGCTACTTGTGCCCTTAACTGTTCTGCCACCTCACAAAAAGTTTTGCAATGTCTGGAGACATAGAGCATGTTGTGAGGGGAGGGAGCAGGAGAGCTCTGAGCATACCCTTAAAGACTAACCTCCAGTAGGATTTGTCTGCAGCTCTGAAAGTGCAAGGGAGGTCTCTGCCTGCACCAGTGTTGGAGACCTGAGCAGACCTTAGACAAGTCAATTTATGTCAATTGTTCTCTCTCTGCTTCAGCTCTTTATTTAAAAAATGAAATATGAGGATACTTTGCAGAGGAGTGATGAAGGTAAATAAGGTAAAGAGTAGGATGTGATGAGGTGTACTGAGAGTCCGTGTAAGTGCTCAGATAGAAATTCTCCAGAAAGGTGGATGCTGTAATCAGAACTCATCATGCCATTCACCTCGCTGCACTCCACCCTCAGTCACTGATCATTAATGTCACTCAGAGACCTGAAG